AAAGATCCCGTGCAAGTATTAATTCCTGGTGCAGACCAAGGGCACCGGCGCCTCCGGCTCTTTCCGGCTAAACAAGAAGCCCGGCGAGACCAAAGAGAAAGCGCCGAAGAAACGCGCGGCGGCGGCAGCCAAGCCCAAGAAGGCGGCGGCCAAGAAGCCCGCGAGCGCCGCCAAGAAGCCCAAGAAGGCGGCGGCGGTGAAGAAGAGCCCCAAGAAGGCGAAGAAGCCGGCGGCTGCCGCGGCCAAGAAAGCAGCCAAGAGCCCCAAGAAGGCAGCCAAGGCTGGGCGCCCCAAGAAGGCAGCGAAGAGCCCGGCCAAGGCGAAAGCGGTGAAGCCCAAGGCTGCCAAGCCCAAGGCGACCAAGCCCAAAGCGGTCAAGGCAGCAAAGAAGGCTGCGCCCAAGAAAAAGTAAATGATACTGGAGACGTCCTGTCTGCCTCGCAGACAAACCCAACGGCTCTTTTAAGAGCCACCCAAGTTTTCCTAAAAAGAGCTGAATCACTTCTTTCTTTTCTTTTTTTTTTTTTAAGCGTACCCTATTTTTATGCGCGTCTAACGCTTCATTAAGCATCGCTTTCGTTTACTGACCATTAGACGAGCGCGAACACCATGCGCTGTCCTCTGCAGGTGCCGCGTCGCTCCGCACCGCTATTCGCAGAGGACTCGGAGGCCCCAGCTCACTTCGCGCATCCCCACGCCGCGAGGTAAAGAGCTTTGCGCAAGTTGCGAGAAACGAGCGCCAGCCCAACCGCGCTTCGGTTGACGAGCGCGGCTGCGCCTGCGGCAGCTGGGGGGGCGGGGGAGCCGCTGCCGCCCGCGCTGCTGACTTTGAAAAGCCCGCGCTGCGCAAAGATTGGCACGAGCTCCCGCGGCTGCTCTGATGCACTAGAGATTTCGGGTTATAGGGACGCCCCGGCTCTAACGCAGCATGCGCAGGGTCCCCCGCCAGCGGAAGAGGTTTATGAACTTCCTGGTACGCGTTTGTCTTCCCTGGTCTATCCTATTTCAGGCCTCTCAGTACTTGCTGCCCTTCCTTAGCAAGATGTGAACCCAATTTGCCAAACACTGCCCTGGCTTTAAGCAAGCTAAGGGATGTGTGACCTCTTGAGAGCCTTTCCAAATCTGCCTTGTCAGGAATTTCTGTGTTACTACCAACAGGATGAGAGGCAACAGAAGCAGAAAGGCAGCTGATATACTACAGTAATAAATGAGCTGGCCTACTTGGACTTTTCCTTCTTTTTTTTTTTTTTTTTTTTTTTTTTTTTCCTTTTTTTTCCCCCTTCTCTCTCCTTTTCTAGTCTCTTCATGTTTATTGCTTTTAGGGATATTCCCATCACAGCCTTAGGAAGCACTTTTCTCGGCAGACAGGAGGAGGGGCAGTGTTTTTTTTTTTTTTTTCCTGCTCACCTCCTAACAAAGACGGGGGATCTTAAGTCCGTAGCTGTTACCCTCCTATTTCCGATCTGAAATGGTTACCCGAATACAGTGTCCCTGCAGTTTGGAGGAGAAATTGTGAAATCAGATTTTTGTCATTGTTCGTGCATTCATGTTTTTGCAAAGAGCGTCAGCGTCCTGCGTGTCTGTACCGCGAGGGAATCAAATACAAAGCAGAAACCCTCTTCAGTCCTCTTACTCAAAATATGTTCTAAAGCTTCTTCTGTCGTCGTCATTTTAGGCTGTTTGTTTGTTTCATCTTGTTTTCCCTTTGGTTAAGTATAAGATGGCTTCCTCTATATACATGAGCATTTGCACGCATCCCACACTTGCTTCAAAATGTATCCAACCAAGTCCCCCCATCCGGATAGTTCGAATTTCTGAGCTTTATCTGGAGGTGAAGATGTGCTTGACAAACTGCTTCAGTTTCTGTAAGCGAAGACTTTTGGGAATCACCCTCTAATCCTCACAGGATTTCACTCAGCTTCTAGCTCTGTACTGAGAATGCAGTGATTTTCCTGAGATTTTTCTGTGCATTTGCAGCTAGTCAAGAGGTAGTGGATTTGACTGGGAATAGTCCAGAGCCAAGTATGCTTCTCTTTCAAGAGTGGTCATCATGCTTAATGTATTTCCTGCGATTGGAACTTGAAAAGACAAAAGCCAAATGATTGTCACGAATTGTGCAAAAGAGTATTGCACTCGTCTCTGTTGACTGAATTTAAATTGACCTCAGCAGGGGACCACCCTGGAATAAACATTTCAGCCTGCGGAATGTGTCAGGCTAATGATGGTGGTTCAGCCTCAGAATCCATTTTCTAAGAGGTTGGAAAGTCAACACACATTATTATCACTTTAGTTCTAAAGAATTTTCAGTTATAGTGGTTACCACCACAGATAACTTCAGAGTGTGATGTTAAAATTCAGAGGAGTAGGATATTTCTGAATCCAAGTAACCATTGGCCTAAGTGCAAGAAATGTTACCAGTCTAAAATATCTTTACAGGCAAAGAGTGTACAGCTATGAGTTCAGCTGAATGGGCTCTAGAGTCCTTAGTAGAAGATAGCTGTTGAAAGCTATATGAGAGATTATTCTACACCAAAGAAAGGAAATGTGTGTCTATACAGGAACTACAGAAGGAGTATCCATGTAGGCTCCAATGGGCACAGCATAGCAAGAGAAATGTGGAGAGAATAAATAAGTATATAAATATACACACACATAGCCCGTATATATCTATAAATCCTGTTAAACATGTAAAATTGAGCTAGGAAGATTGGCACAAATACCTACATAGTAGTAAGAAGCCTGAGAAAAGGGAGCTTGCAGGAATAAGTCACAACCAGTCTAATGTCATGTTGAAGCTAACTGTACCACTGGCACACCAGTTAGTGTCCCAAATTAATTTCAGTTTGCCTCCTTCTGCAGAAGCTTGTGCACTGCTAGCCCTGTGGATGCCAGCCTGGCTCAGCTATGGGATTGGGTGTAGGCAATCTCAGAAAGTTTTTCTCTCAGATATAGTCCATCTTAAAGTATTGAGTCACTGCCGCAGTGCTTGATTATCACAAGACTCCGAAGGCCACACATCATATTCAAGAGGCTGCTCTAGGGTTGCTTAAGCTGTTTTCTATGCTGGATCATAATAAGATGATGTAATACGAAAAACAAACAAACAAACAAACAAACAAACAAAAAAGGATGCTATTTGTTGTCATAATTCAACTTTCTAATCATAACTTGCTGAGCTCAGGTTCATTGTGTAATTTATGATGGCAGCAAGAAAGGGACATATCTCATTTTGTTGCATGACATCCTATCAGACATCTGGGCCTTCATTTATTTTCTCAAATCTGATATGATGCCTGATGAAACTGGAGAAAGAAGGAAAAGACATGAGCTCTGCTCAGAACAGCTCCTTTCCAAAACTCTAAAATATTTAAGAGCACAAGTCACACTTCTTTTGTTGTTCATTTACATTTATTTATTGTTTGTACTTAAAAAAAAATGGTGTTGATCTGGATATTTTCTTGTGTACATTTACCCAAGAAAAAGCTTTGGGAAAGCTTGGGAAGCTTGGGTACATTTACCTCAAAGAACACTGCCTTGCCCTTCAATTCCCATCTCCTTGATTTAATGATTTTCTCCTTCTGAGAAGTGATGGACAAAAACTTCCCTTGGCTGTCCCTACTCTCTTTGGCATCTTGGTATCTTTGCCAAATGTATTTTAGCATCTATTTGCTTTTTTTTTTTTTTCTGTATTTCTTTGCATTTGTGCTTCTGTTACTATAATTGTTGTCATGGGTCAGTCTGAACTCATTACTCATAATTTCAGCTTATCTTGGAGCGTCTAGAAAATAAAATTCAGGTTGGATTGTAGTTTATTTGTTTGTTTTCCTAGAAATGAGCCTCTATTTATTTTATTTTATTTTATTTTATTTTATTTTATTTTATTTTATTTTATTTTATTTTATTTTATTTTATTTTACTACTCCTTTATGAATACAAGGATCATTCACTTGTATTAAGAGAAAATAGGTTATTTGATAAAGGGTAGAAGGATATTATATCATTCACAAAGATATTTAAAGGTATAAGCTGTTTTTGCATGACCCCAGTAGTAGTGAGTACCACAAGCCCATGACTAGTGAGTACCCAAAGCAACTGTGGAGCTCCCTGCAATTCAGAGTCACACAACAGTACAGATTTGGGCCAGTCAAAGGTCAGATACAAAACTACTCTTCGCTCAGACACATTTGATAATGCATGTTTTTTTATGGTTTAATTTGTTTGTTTGTTTTTGGCAAATATGTACCACATTTTTCTATTTTAATACTTAGATGAGGTAGCTGGTGTTTATCAACCCAGTGCTTACCTTTGGGGATACAGGCCCCATTTATTGTGAGTCAGATTTGAGTTCCCTCTTCTTTTTCTATTGACTGATTGATTGATTGATTGTCATTTGGATGGCTGGTCTAAGCTAATAAACTCCCATCCAACTTCTGTTAAAAATTATTTTATGGAAAATGTTGATCTGCACAAAGTCATTGGTGGGATACCTTCTGTCCAGTCCCTCACCATATCTCTGACACTGAGCTTACTTACCACTCCGTACTCAATTTTGTACATCTCTAGTTAGTTGTGTAGTTGTTTTTCTTCTGATATTCACTTTTCAACTATTTTCCCATTGTCTCACAGAATCATAGAACAGTTACAGTTGGAAGGGACCTCTAGAGATCATCTAGTCCAACCCTCCTGCTCCAGCAGGGACACCTAGAGCATGGGGCACAGGGTGGCATCCAGAGGGGTTTTGAAGATCTCCAGAGAATGAGACTCCATGATCTCCCTGGGCAGTCTGTTCCAGGGCTCTGCCACCCTCACAGGAAAGAAGTTCTTCCTCACATGGAGATGGAACTTCCTGTGTTTCAATTTGTACCCATTATCCCTTGTCCTGTCACTGGCCACCACCAAGAAGAGTTTAGCCCCATCCTCCCTACATTCGCCCCTCAGGTACTTGTACCTGTTGATCAGATTTGCTCTCACTCTTCTCTTCTCTAGGCTAAATAGATCCCGCTCCCTTAGTCTTCCTTCATATGATAGATGCTCCAGTCCCTTAATCATCTTTGTGGCTCTATGCTGGATCCTCTCTAGAAGCTCCACATCCCTTAGGCCAGAATCTCATTGGCCTTCTTGGCCGATCGCTGCCTCGTGGTTAACTTGTTTTCAACCAGGACTCCCAAATCCCTCTCCATGGAGCTGCTTTCCAGTAGGTCATCCCCTAATCTGTACAGGTGCCTGGGGTTATTCCTCCCCAGGTGCAGGACCCCGCACTTGTCCTTGTTGAACCTCATGAGAATCCTCTCTGCCCAACTCTCCAACCTGTCTAGATCCCTCTGAATGGCAGCACAGCCCTCTGGAGTGTCAGCCACTCCACCCAGTTTGGTATCATCTGCAACCTTGCTCAGGGTGCACTCTGTACCCTCATCCAAATCATGGATGAACAAGTTGAATGGCACCAGGCCCAGTACTGATCAAGTCTCCTTTCATTTCCATTTGCCATAGAAGGTTTGGTCCTTCCGATCATTTGTCTCCTGATGAGACATCAATGAAATCCCAATGCTTGAGCTTCCCAAGGATCACAGGGTTTGCTTTTCAATGATTTTAGGGTTGGACTTACAGAAACTATGGAAAGAAAGAAATATGTGCAGAAAATAATAATAATAACAACAACAACAACAACAAAATAAAGCACAGATAGGTCAGGGCCCGAACTAAAAAAGGAACAAACAAACAGAGTTACCACTGCTCTTCCTGTTGGCCAAAGTCATACAATACATTTGTGCTTATTTATATGCAGCTACTCTAGAACATTTCTGTACACTAGAGTTAAGTGCTAGGGCCTGAACCACAGGCCCAAGTCAGGGCTGACTTACAGCTGAATATGGCTCTGCCTTTGTAAAAGCACACAGAGCTTGCCTGTAGAACTGCTTATGCCACCCTGCACGTAGACCCACCAGATTGCTTATGCCACCCTGCATGTAGGCTTATAAAATTTTAACTTTTGTACGGTCTCATGCAAGGGTTTTTGGCCTTGAAGGAAACTTTCCCATCTGAAGCTGGGGCTCTGGCCAGGTCCCGAGTGACAAGGAAAGTAGGACATACCATATGTTAACCGCTAACAAAGAAATTGCAAGTTGTGCTGATTTGGTTTTATAAAACCTGGACCCTCTTACAGCAACTTTGGAGACCTCGCTTACAGGTGGATGCACTGCATAAGACCTCGCATTTGCTGGGAGGGCTCTCCAAATCCTCGCTGCAACAGGGGCTCCCTGGAGATTGTGGATCTGCATGATGGTAACATATTTAGGCAATTGGTGATGTATCTGTTTCTTAATTACTATTCTCTTGCTCGTATAGTAATGGTTAAGTGCATTACCTTGCTTGTTTTTCTGTTGTTAAAACCCAGTGCCTAGTAAGCTTATTGTTTTGTTAGATGTATCATTTCATTTCTGTGTTATTTGGTATTAATAGTAAACATGACCGTTCTTTCCTGTGGTGTCTGATTCTTTCCGCCACCCCCTATCAATTGGCAAAACACAGAGTAATGCACATCCTCATTGTTAGTGTAATTTCTTGTCACTGTATCATCTCCTTTCCTACCTCTCAGTTTTCTCTGGCATAGATTTACCGTAATCCCTAGAGCTCTGTGTCCACACACCAATTGTCTGCCTTTGACTACTTTGGACTCCTTTTTTTTTTCATCAGTTTGTTTTGCTCTGTTTGGTGGGGAGATAATCTCACTGTCAGCAGCTTCTCCTGCTACCTGGCCTAGATCTGCTGAGGGGGGAACTCTAAGCAGTCCTGAGGCAGGAGACTTCTTTCATGATTGGGAATTATGTTTCGGACTGATTCCTTCTTCTCTTTCAGCAACCAAAAGCTGATTAAGTGACAGTTATTCCATAAAACCTAGGTGCCCAGAGGGGCAGTAGAGAATCTTAGCGCTGCCCAGATAATGTTATCTCTCTGTCACAAGTTAGAGGTTAATTTATCAGCCCCAGTGGATGCGATAAAATCAGATGCATACCTGGGATGGAAGGATTGGGAGGAACTCCAGCTCTAGAGTAACCTCTCTTTATTAGATGGCTTTCTATCATGAGTTAATATTAGGGCTATGAATTTAACAGATGTGTATCTACTTCTTTTTAGAAAAGCAGCTTCCACATGGGTTTCTGATATTTTTCCAAGAAGGGCGTGGAGGCAGGTAGAAAGCTGGAAAGAGAAGAGGAGAAATATTAACTATAGTCATGGATTCCTGTACAAAATAATCTCAACATGGAACAGGGTTACAGCATTAAATTTTATTTTATATATATATACATGTACAGTATATATATATATAAATATATATATATATGAATATATATATATACACACATGGGAATTGTGTTCCGACTTCTTGTTTTAGTATTGAAATTTTAGTCTAGAGTCCCATTGGAAATTTGCGTGGCTGTAAGGAAGGAAATTTGCTGGGGCTTTTTGATTAGATCTTTATTCGAGACAATAGGGCTTTGCATATTGATATAAATAAACAGCACTGCTATGTCATCACAATTTCCTCTCTTACTGGAATAAGCTGAAAAAGCTTACAGAAAAACAACGGTGATAAAACACAGTCTGATAATAACATTTGGATTACTGTACAGCATTAGACCCTCAAAGTCTTTTTTTGGTATAGTGTTTACTGTGTTAGAGTTGCTAGGATAGTGAAAAGTCTGAAGAACCACAAAAGAATATAAATTAACATCTTCAGAATAGAGGACAGAGACAGTCCTCTGCTGCCACAAGCACTCAAGTCATAATTATTTTGAAAACCTAAATTTATTATTTTTAATCTATTTTTAATATATTCTGGATAATTCTGTTATATCTATTATAGTGAGTGAGACTGCCATATACCCCAGCTTCATGTGAAAGTCTGAAGAACCATAAGGCAGAACATGCTGCCAAAAAAAAAAAAAAAAGAAAAAAAAAAGAAATACTCTGTAACTCCCTAAAACCTTTCAGAGTTGTAAAAGTTTCAGACCTGAAAATTGTGCGTCAAATACAGCACCTTGACTTAACAGTGAGAGACACTTGGGGTAGCAAAAGTGGCAAGTAGGGAAGGGTGTGAAATACAATCACCTAAAATGGAAACCGGGCTATTAAGGAATGTTCTATTGTATCTTTTGCAATGATGAATTATATAAAGTTACTCTGGTCTCAGAGGGAAAAAGAAGAGGGAGGGAAAAAAAAAAAAAGGGAAGAAGAAGGAAAAAAAAAAAAGTCCATGAGAGGGCAGTAGAAGCTCGGTCCTGGTAACATTTTTCTCCCTTCCTGATCATTTTCACCTCAACAACCAGTTAGTGAATGCCGGCTGCTGCAGGCTTTGTGTTAAATAATTAGAAATATTGTCTCCCCGAATAATAACTACATGTAGTATAACTACATGTAACTAATAACTGCATGTAACTAATGTAGTATAAACATTGTTTATACTACATTATGAATGGAAAAGTGTAGAATACATATTTGTCCAGAAGAATCACTTAAACATCATGGAGAGAGAAGGGCTTCTGCTTTCTCAATTCATGTATGTTTACAGTCACAGTGATGGAAAGAAGTTAAAGAAAGGAAAGGGTCTATCTGGAATGTGATTGGTTAAATCTTGCTACAAAATGCTTCAGAATAATAAAGAGCAGTTATTTCAACATGGTGAAGCCATAAAGGGGAATTGCTGCTACACTCAACAGGTAAAGTTATAATACATAACAAATCTCTATATTTAACAATAAAAATACGTATAGTCAGGAAAAAAAAAAGGAACTTTTTGGTGGTTCTCTAAACAGGATTCACTAACCCTCATGTGAGTGAAATATCAGTTCATGTAGCAGCTAAGATAACCTGTCATACTGAAAATGAAGCTCTTATACAGAAGATAGAATATACACAAAGACCTGTTTTTTTTGTGTGTGTGTGTGTACTTGTTTTATCTTTTGGTTTGTTTTGTTTCTTTTATTTTTTTTTCTTCCTAAAAACACCAATTTGACCCATAGTCCAACATCACCAAGAACTGAGTGCCCGGGGAACGGGAACCAGTGGGAATCACGTTTCTTGCCACAATCGGAAGGGCGGGCGCAGAGGAGC